CCCGTAGCAGAGGTGAGAAGGAAGGCCACTTAAGAAAAAAATAGAATGGTTTATGGACAGCATTGAAAAGGCGTATTTATTTTTTAAGGCCAGAATTCAAATGCTGGAAATAGTAATCGTACACTTTATTTACATCACTAAAGATTTTATTTTATTTGGACAAAATGTCAGAAACTTGCAAAACTAGTAAACACTATTACGGTAATCTTGGTAATCTGTTCTTGAATGCCCAAGACTATACAGGAAAATGATAACTGATAGCCCATTTCCCATTTGTAAAAATATATTTTATTGATTTTTAGAGAGGAGAGGGATAGAAACATCCAACGGCTGCCTCCTACATGCCCCCTACAGGGGGTTGAACCAGCAAGCTGGACATATGCCCTGACCACGAATGGAACCATGACTTGCTGGTTCATGGGCCAACGTTCAACCATTGAGCCACACTGGCTGGGTCCATTTCCCATTTTTTAAAGGGGATAAATTATAATGAATTACACTCAACCGTTGAGTCCCCATTTTTTTAGATTGTAACTTAAATAATAGTAAAGTATGTACCTATATGTAAATATTTGGTTGAACCACACAAAACAGTCATTTTATAGGTAAAAAAAAAAATGATCAAAACCGACCTAACAGCAAACCATAAGATTAGAATGCTTCCTTGATCACTAACAAAATGGTTAATGAATTGTTCTGTATAGAGACCTCTTTCCACAGTAATCTCTTACTCTGCTTCCTTCCCTACAAATTTCCCCAACACGTTCCCAACATTTCTGGGACTTACTTGTGTAATACTGGGGGAAAACTGGAACTAAATATAAAAGGCACTGTGACAAAGTGTTCAGGACGAGCACACAATGCCAGACAATGGCTCACAGTAGGATGCTACCAATAGTGGAGATGCACATCCCCTGTATGCATGCTCATCAGCATCTACAGGTGATTTTGAAGTTCTGCCAATTATAGGAATGCACCTCAAGATTTTTCTCACTCATAATTTTGTTTAAAGTGTTGTACTGAGTTTTGGGAAACAAATAATACCATCCCCTCCCCCATATAAACACGGGCTGGTGAAAAAACGAATTGAAAGATCCATACATTCTATGACATTTGGTTATTAAAAGAATTGTTCTGGGGCAAGAGGTAGGTTGATACTCTGCAGGACATGTCAATTTCAATGCCACATGACTAGAAACTTTCTGTTAAGGTTTTTGGAAGTTGTTCATTCTGTCTTTCTCTAACCTTGTAACCTAAACAGGAAGTGTGTTTCATTTCAAGTGTCTCCAAACATTACACTTTCAAACAGTGACCTACAAGCAGATGGAGTCACTAAAAATCTTGGCACTGGTGGGAAGGGGAATATCAAGTTTCAAAACATAGCAGTGTTTGATCTCGTTACTTTTTTGTATGTAGTTATAATAGGTATGTATTTATGTATGCATACATACAGATGTATGCATGTGTACACACCGACATTAAACTTCAAATCAGATTCAAGGAAGGCATGAGAAGTCTGGGTTGAGAAACACTATTTTAAAACAAGAGTATTTTTTTTAACAGCAAAAGAGGCAAACAAACAATTAGTACTTCTGAGTCCATTTATTTGTAAACTCCTGATTCCATTTTTATCACTTATTTCTTCCTGACAGCATCCTTCACAGAAACAATTATTGAGCACTTACTATGTGACAGACACTGTTATAAGTACTTTACATCTATTAACTCATTAAATCCTTACAGACCAATAAGGTAGGTGGAATTATTATCTCTATTTTACATATGAAGAAAGTTCTCAAAGTTGGTGTGGAGCAAGGACTCGAACCCAGGAATCCTGGTTTCAATCTCTTTAGCCTATCTCTACCAGTCCATTTCTTTCCTGTCCTTTATCAATATGCTCCTTAGAAGCATCCAGGCAGTGCTCATATCCACCTGGCAGGCAAATTCAAGTGACTGCTCCTCTCCTCTCTTGCCAGACCTATGCAGCAAAAGATCAGCAAGCAGAAGGGGGCTTTGAAAATAGCCAGGCTTATTTGCTCCACCTGGGCCTTAGTGGCCCCACTGGTAACTTGGGGAATTCCTAAAATTAGATTTCAAAGGTAGGTGCTCTGTATATAGCCCTACAGATTTTCTACACACATGCACGGTCACACGCATGCACACACCTTGAATACATATGTCAAGAGAAAACTTTCAATAGTTACATAGGGTACAAATGACAATCAAAAATCTTTCTTGCACCAGCTGGTTTGGCTCAGTGGATAGAGCATTGGCCTGCGGACTGAAGGGTGCAGGGTTGGATTCCTGTCAAGGGCACATGCCTGGGTTGCAGACTCGATCCCCACTACAGGGCATGTAGAAGGCAGCAGATCAATGATTCTCTCTCATCATTGTTGTTTCTCTCTCTCTCCCTCTCCCTTCCTCTCTGAAATCAATTAAAAAAAAAACTTTCTCCCTGCCCTGGCCGGTGTGGCTCAGATGGTTAGAGTGTCGTCCGTACACCAAAAGGTGGCAGGTTCAATTCTGTCAAAGTGCGTGCAGAAGGCAACCAATTGATGTTTTTCTCTCACATCGATATTCCTCTTTCTACTCCCACCCCCTGCAATTCCTCTCTCTAAAATCAATTTAAAAAAAAAATCTTTCTTTCTACTCCCTGGAAGCAAACACTGTCAACAGTTTGTTTATAATTATGGTTAGCATTGTAACTTTAAATTTATACTTCTATTTTTTGATTTATCAACTTTAGACTACATTTATCTCGAGCCCCAACTATGAAAGATGAGGAGGATACTCATTTTTAAAAAATATTGATTTTAGAGAGGAAGGGAAAGGAAGAAAGAGATAGAAACATCAATGATGAGAGAGAATCACTGATTGGCTGCCTCTGGCAACAGTTTGTTTATAATTATGGTTAGCATTGTAACTTTAAATTTATACTTCTATTTTTTGATTTATCAACTTTAGACTACATTTATCTCGAGCCCCAACTATGAAAGATGAGGAGGATACTCATTTTTAAAAAATATTGATTTTAGAGAGGAAGGGAAAGGAAGAAAGAGATAGAAACATCAATGATGAGAGAGAATCACTGATTGGCTGCCTCCGGCACCCCTCCCCTCCCACACACACACACACACACACACACACACACACACACACACACACACTGGGGATCGAGCCCACAACCTGGGCATATGCCCTGACCAGGAATCGAACAGTGACCTCCTGGTTCATAGGCCGATGCCCAACCACTGGGCCATGCCATACTCACTTTTCCATTAATCTTTCCTTCCCTTGTCATTTTCCCACTTTTGTTATATTATTTTTCCACTACCAATGTTAAAGTTTGCATTCTAAAATTTCTATATACTTTATCTTAGGCAGGTTCTAAAGTTTATACACTAATAAACAGTATTTATGATATTAAGATAATGTACATTTATTTCACTAGAGAACTAAGCATGCATGGACTATAAAAAAGGATATATTCCAGGTCTACAGAGCAACTAATCTAATACACCAAAAGAGAAAAACAGGCATCTAATAATCCTTACTGAGCACTTAATACTGTACAATTACTCTACATACATCACCTTATTTAATCCTCAAAACAACCACAAGGAATTATCAGCCCAATTTTGCAAAGAGAAACTAGACTAAAGTTATATCATTTGGATGGCTAGTATGGAGCAGAGCAGATATCTGAACCCAGGTTACGGCTCCAGGGCCTGAACTCTTCACCACAATACTGCTTGCTCATACTAACTATTCTTTCACTTTCCTTTTCCTAGCAATGTCTAATTAGTGCCCTGAACAGCAATGGGAGCGTGTTATTTTACAAGGCAGAGTTTAAAATCATCCTACTAGATATTATTGATCATATTTCTGTCTAGATATTGGTCATTATTGATCAAAATATTGATCATATTTTTCAATTGGGGATGAGTTAAAGGGGTTACTGAATTAGCCAATATGATGTTGTTTTCTTGCTACATTATATTAAGTATGTAGCCATATAGCGGACTGGTCTGATTCCAAATTAACTTTATTTCTAAAATGTACAGGTGAAGAGAACCTCATTTATAGGCCAACTCTATCCTTATGCTTTCCAAACACAGGTTATATTACTGTCCTTGCCAAGGCACTGAGGTGCTAAACTCACTCAAAAATAAAACCATTCTGGGCCACGTGTAAATCAGGATCTCTTGATATTAAATTCTCTATGGCAAGAGATTAAGGATCCGAATTAGAATCATACCTAAACGCTGACACCACTTAGAGCCAATAAAATATACTGTAATACTGAACAACTGATAACGAGTATAGTGTTTATTCCCACTAGAGTTGTTACAATTCCGAACCAGCTTGTAAACTACAGAGTCAAACAGATATGGCTTAAAAGGGGATGTTTCACCAGCAGCTCTACAACTGACAATCATTCTTTCTACCTACCAGTTTTCCAAAGATGTCCTGAACTCTGCAAATACCAGTAAGTTGGTATTTTTTCTTTGTCTCCGTTTGTTTACGTTATCTGGCACTCCCTTTAAGTTCAATATAAGAGAGGCTGTGGCATCTTTGTATCCCTTAAGACTAGCAGTATCTGGCATATAGAAGGCCCTGAATGCCTGTGTGGAAACAACTACCTCAGGACAAGGAAGTGCATGCTGCAAACAAAGGAAAACGGAGAGGGAACGTTTTAAGTGGGAGGTTAAGGAACTAATGACCCTTTAGAGAAGTACAGACATCGAGTCCACCTAGGGCTAGGCCAAAATGTAACAAGTTCCTAAGCCTCAGGAAGTCAGGAGGCAGACGTTTAGGTCCTGCCTTCCTTAGCTCTTCATTGTGTCCAGGCAGTGCGGCCGCTCGCCCTCCACAGCAAGAGGCCTTCAGCCTTCGGGCCCCGGACCCCTGCCTCCAGTCTGGGGTGAGACCACCACGGGACGTCCCCCCAGACTAGGCCCTTCTCCCGTCCCAACTCCGGCCATGCTTCAGCCCCGGACTAAACTCCGGGCCGCGCCATGACAGAGCATTTCGAGTGGATCAAAGGCGGACCTGGTTCACTCACCTACTTGGTAGAGCCGGCCCTCGGGTGAAAAAATGGTAATGTGGCGGTCAAAACCTGCGCTGGAACCGCGGGACATGTTGATGCAGCCACTACTTCAAGAACGGTCTCTGGGCCCGGTAGCTCCCTAACCAGGCGTACAAGCCCCTCCGGAAGTCGCAGCGACTGCTTCCGGTGCATTCATCCAGATTCATCCGCTCCTGTGCGCCGAACTCACGACTCCAGCGTCGGTTCGCGCGCGGAGGAAGCTCCGACCCCGCCCCTGGTGGGGGTGGGGAAAGGGACGTAGGTGCTCGGTGTGCGCTTGCGTCGGGGTCGTGTCTGCGCAGGCTCAGGATGCCCGGTGAAACGCGGTGGTTGTGGTTTAGAGCTGTCATCTGGAAAATGAATTGACTGTAACAAGAACGAAAAAACTTTCTGGGGTCCAGAGTAGTGATTTGCCATTCAGTGTGACCTAAATGGATCGTGTATTCCACAATCTCTCGTTAGTTTTGGGCCCTGTATAACCAGCCTGCGTCTAGATTGCTGGCGTCATTTCTAACCTATTCTTTAATTAATAAATAAATAAATAAATAAATAAATAAATGTTGATTTCAGAGAGGAAGAAAGAAAGATAAAAAACCATCAATGATGAGAAAGAATCATTAAACGGCTGCCTCCTGCACACCCCACACTGGGACTCGAACCCACAACCCTTACTAACTTATTCTTTACCCACCCACTTTCCTTCATGCTGTGGGGAGAAATGGATTGCAGCCGTTAATTTTAGTTACAGAAGGGAGCAGGTTCTGGTAGCCACTGGCAATAGAAAAAGTTCCTTCTGGCCCTAACCAGTTTGGCTCAGTGGATGGAGCGTCGGTTTGCAGACTGAAGGGTCCCGGGTTCGATTCTGGTCAAGGGCATGTACCTTGGTTGCGGGCATATCCCCAGTGGGGGTGTGCAGGAGGCAGCTGATCGATGTTTCTAACTCTCTATCCCTCTCCCTTCCTCTCTGTAAAAAATCAATAAAATATATTTAAAAAAAAAAAAGAAAAAGAAAAAGTTTCTTCTGAATACAAAATGAAAAACATGATGTTAGGCTTGTGTGCCCCTCCCCCCTAGTTTGTGCACCAGGAAGGCCAGATATACCAAGGTTTCTGGCACTTTAATGCCTGCTGTAAGTACATTCTTAAGGAGGGATTCTTACCTCTTTAATGTATTTCCTCTTAAATTCACCTTCCATTTAAATGAAAAATTTGTAAGAACTTCTTAAGCAGTTTCTTGAGGAACCTCCAGTTTCTTAAGAGTGTTTTTTTAAAAAACAAAAAACAAAAAAACCCTCTATTTTATTAACCTGAAAAAAAATTCAAAACTGAAACATGATTGAGAAAATACTTAAGTGCAAACAGCATCTCTGGCACACAGGGTACTTTCCAGCTCTGCCTAATTCCCAAGTGTCCTGATAAAAGTCCCTTGCTTTGGTTCAGGTCCCTTCACTCAGGGCCAACCCAACCCCTCCTGACCTTTTTTTTCTAAAAAAATATATTTTTATTTATTTCAGAGAGAAAGGGAGAGAGAGAAACATCAATGATGAGAGAGAATCATTGATCAACTGCCTCCTGCATGCCCTTTACTGGGGACTGAGCCCGCAACCCAGGCATATGCCCTTAACTGGAATCGAACCCGGGACCCTTCAGTTGCAGGCTGACACTCTATCCACTGAGCCAAACTGGCTAGGGCTCCTCCTGACCTTTTGAGTATTTTTTCCCTCAGATTCTGAGTGAGCTTCGTGCACTGTAATTCCTATAGTTTTCCTGTTGGTACATGGGAGGACGCTCAACCAACTGAGTCACACTGGCTAGGGAAGTTTGGGGATATTTTAAACTACACACACTGCAGGCTGTAAGAATTATTTCTCACATTAAACAAATCCTGATTCCTTCTTGAGGTTGTATTTAAGCTGGGCCCTGAAAGACACATAGGATTTTTGGATGCTACATACACTTTTTAAAAAATATATATTTTATTGATTTTTTACAGAGAGGGATAGAGAGAAACATCGATGAGAGAGAAACATTGATCAGCTGCCTCCTGCACACTCCCCACTGGGTATGCACCCGCAACCAAGGTACATTCCCTTGACCGGAATCGAACCTGGGACCCTTGAGTCCGCAGGCCGATGCTCTATCCACTGAGCCAAACCAGTTAGGGCTATACACTTTAATACTGGAAGGAATCAACCTCATTTTCAATTCAAACATAAACTGAAAGCTAGAATTAGATGTGTTTTGCTCCCCAGTATATCTCAATGCCAAACAGTGCCTAGCATGAAGTACTCAGATCATTCACTGAATATGCATTCTCACTATTTGGGTTTTCTATTGTGTTTGTTTTTTTATTTGAAGAGATTTTTAAATAAATGAGAAATCCAGATCTCAAAAACTTTAAAAGATCAGAGATTTTATATTAGAATTTGAGATTTTTCCACATAGGCAAATGAATTCCTCTGTGAAATCTTTCAGAAAGACAAAACCCCTTCTGATTCCATTGCTAAGGGAAATCCCCTGGTAGCAGATTTCATTGGGTGCCAAGCAGCAGCTAAACTCCTCAACCAGGTGGACTTCCCCTTGGGTTGAGCTTTCACCAAAGTCTGAGTACAAATACTCCTGCAGCTTTAACACAAGCCTATGGGGGCAGACTTGCTGTGTTGGTGTGGAAAGTTTGATCTTCCTCTATGTGGGGCCACCAAGTTAGACTTTTTGAAATGACTTTCTGGTTTTTTGAAAAATTTCAGAGATGACTTGACATCTCGTGAATCTTGGAAAATCTCCTGGTGGCTTCCGTTTGGCAAGGCTCACATTCTCCCCTGGGCGTGGAGGTAGGTGGGAGGTAGGGGTTACCCAGAAGGCAAAGGTAAAGAGTGGCAGCGTAAGTTCCCAGTGACTGCAGACATGCCGAATGCCATGGTGTTTAAAGACAAATAAGAATTTAGCCCTTAGCTTACGATGCTCTGCTGGCAGTTTGAGAGCCAGGGAATTAAAAAAAGAAAACTTATCTGTGTTTCTATGTGACATTAGCAGGTGTTGAAACACATTGCCCTGTAAGTTGGCCATAAACACTGGTAATAGAGCATCTTAGGAAAGTTAGGATTCCCTGATATTAAGGGGATGTGGCCAGGACAGAGCTAGGGATGTAGCAGCTCTGGGTGAACAGTTGGAGGGAGGTAGAGCTCTGCCCAGCTCCCTGGCCAGACTTTCACCAATCAGATGCTTCCTCAGGGGACTAAGGGCAAGAACCTGGCTCTCTTTGAATCATTCTCACACCAATCTCAGTCCTGCAGTTCTTCCAAGAACTATTGTAGGCTGCCTAGGAATTGTCATTCTGGCTCAGTCTCTGGGAAGGAGAAAAGGGTGGTTTCTCTGTACTCCAGTTCTATCATTTATGGGCACAGGAGAGGGACAAATGAAGCATCAAATGTGAGTTGGGGTGTGCTTTCATGAGGCATTTGATTATGCTTCTCCTCAAAAACCCCTTACCTGACCAGATTCCAATAAAGCAACACATCCCTGCCCCCTTGTCCATAAAATCTAGTTCTCTCACCCTCCAGTACTAATGGTGAGTACAAAATGGTGTCCAGCAACACAGCAGTCACACAACTGGCATTCCCCTCCTCCCTCCTTTCTTTAACTCAGTGCCTGGATTATATCATTCATCCCAATAATAATAATAATAATAATAATAATAATAATGCCATCCTTTGATTTGAAAGGGAATAAACTTTTATCAGTTCAACCCAAAGGCCATTTAACTAAAACTACCCCTTCTATAGAGCCCAAACCGTTATCTCTCAGTTTACCATTGATTTTTAGCTATAACAACTTCAGTATTAGCCTCTTACAACTTTTGATGTTTTTCTTGTTTTACCAAATTCCCCCTTAAATGAAGACCCAGCGCTCGGCTGACCAACTGATCTTTTGTTTCTGAAAGCCATGGACTTTGAGAAACACTGAGAATTCTTGTGGGTCTCCACAGAATACTGGAAGGAGCAATGGGAGACCCCAGCTGGCTTGGGCTTAACCATTAGTGGTTTTTAACATACAACTTCCCCTTAGGCATGATAACAGGAAAGCCTTATAGCTTGAGAAAGCAGCAAATGTTCCAGTGAAAAATAAGATGGGGAAGGGAGGGACCTGCGTCTTGAACATGGTCAGGCTCTGTTCTGAGTGTCAGAAGCGCTGAATTTGAATTTGAACCTTGCCACAGACTAACCTGGTGACTATGGCCAAAAGGTGAGCATGTTGTATCAACCTTAAAGGTACAGAGGACAAAAATATTAATTACAACAGTGAAAATAAGCCACCTACTAGTAAGCTTGAACTCAGTTTTTCTCTGTGAAAGGAGGTAAGGCCTGGATTGCTGGCTATTTTGCTTTGATCTATCCCTAATTCAGAAGGAAACCAAGTATTATACCAACCTGCACTGTACTCTGCTGTTGTTCAGAAGTGAAACTCAGTCTCTTTTCTTAACTTGGAAAGCAGCCAATTCTTACCCACCCTGTCCCATACACATGCAACCTCACCCGTGACTGTGGACAGGAGGATGGGAACAGTAAGAATCAAACAGTTCATTGAGATTTTCAACTCATGGTGCTTCCCTACACCCTGTGGTCTTTATGAATGGTATTTAACTTTATTCACTCTGTTCACCATCCTCACCCTTACACCCACCCCCACTCCAGCCCCTTGATCTGGTGGGGAAAGGGAGGTGCAGAGGTTGGCTAGGAACCAAGAAAGTGAGTCAAGAACGGAGAGGAAATAAGACTCAACAGCCTTCCCTTTAGCCTAGAGATAGTTCCTCTTCCTTGAGGTTTCCTAATTGGCTTCCTCTAATTCCTATTTTCTTACCACAAAATTAAGTCATCTCTGATGCTCAGAACAAGCCAAATTCTCTTGGGATAATGGCAGGGAGAGCAATTACTAAATGAGGTTTCTGACCATTATCATCAATATTTTCAGTCACTAATTTAGGAACCAGTTCTTGAGAACCCAGTTATTGATGAGAAAGCAAAAGAGTGCTCTAGTTTTATTTTTCACTTGCTGTGAAAGGACTTGATAGACCTCAGCTAAAGTCCCCAAACTTCACCACCTGCACTTCATTCATAGTGGTGAAACAAAGGCAAGTTTCAAAAAAAATCAATCACAGGCCCTGTGACAGTGAAAATAAGCCACCTGGCCAGGTAGCTTAGTTGGTTAGTGTGTTGCCTAATATGCCAAGGTTGAGGGCTTAATCCCCAGTCAGGGCACATACAAGAATCAACCAATGAATGAATAAATAAGTGGAACAACAAATCAATGTTCCCCCACCCCACCATTCCCTGCTCTTTCTCTCTCCCTGTAAAAAATCAACAAAAACAAAAATCAACTACAGGCAGCAGATCTAAAACATTTTTTTAAATTATTTATTTCAGAGAGGAAGGGAAAGGAAGAGAGAGATAGAAACATCAATGATGAGAGGGAATCATTGATTGGTTGCCTCCTGCTCCTTGGACCGAGCCAGCAACCCAGGCATATGCCCTTGACCGGAATCGAACCTGGGATCCTTCGGACTGCAGGCTGACACTCTATCCACTAAGCCAAATTGGCTAGGGCTAAAACATTTCTAAAGATTAAGTACAGCATAGGGAATGCAGGAATCCTATATAATAAAAGGCTAATATGCTAATTGACTGAACAGAGGAATGACCAGTTGCTATGACACACACTGACCACTAGGGGGCAGGCGCTCAATACAGGAGCTGCCCCCTAGTGGTCAGTGTGCTCCCACAGGGGGAGCACAGCTCTGCCAGAAGTGGGGCTCTCAGCTGGTGAGCGCAGCGGCGGTGGCGGGAGCCTCTCCCACCTTCATGGCAGCGCTAAGTACCCCTCGGGGGAGTGGGCCTAAGCCAGCAGTCGAACTCCCCCGAGGGGTCCCGGACTGTGAGAGGGCACAGGCTTAGCTGAGGGACTCCCCTCAACCCCCAAGTGCACAAATGTCGTGCACTGGGCCTCTAGTGTAGTAAATAATATTGTAATAACTATGTATCGTGCCAGGTGAGTACTGGAAATATTGCAAGGAACACTTTGTAAAGTATATGATTTTCTAGCCACTATGCTGTATACCTGAAACTAATACAAAATAATTAATGTAAACTATAATAAAATGTAAAAATATCAGAAAAAAAAACATTTTCAAGATTGAAAACTCTGGAATGATGTGTTATAGGTACAGAGCAAATTTTATCATAGTGCCATGTACATAGATGCCTAATAAGTAAACATTTAATTCATTTAAGACATAGGGGAGCTATGACTATAATGGTATGACTATAAAGAGTGGCATTGAGAAATTATTTCTTGAGGATCAGTTAAAATATCAGACTCCGATGACTATGTTTTTGAGCTAGTCAGTGCATACACAAAATACCTAGGAGCACCCTGGCTGGGTGGCTCAGTTGGTTGGAACGTCGTCCTGTACACCAAAAGGTTGCAAGTTCAATTCCCGGTTGAGGAGGGTACAGGAGGCAACCGATGGATGTTTCTCTCTCTCTCTCTCTCTCTCTCTCTCTCTCTCTCTCTCTCTCTCAAAATCAGTAAAAGCATGTCCTTGGGTGAAGATTAAAACAACAAACAAACGTAGGAGCAAGAGGGGAATTCACAAAGGAGAAGTGGAAATCAGAGATAAAAATCAGGAAGACATTTTCAAACAACTTCTCCAAAGCAATTCAACTAACATTTACTGAGCCCCTTCTGTGGGCAAGAAGCTGAGCTGGCTACTCTGAGACACAGATGGGGTCCCCACCAGAGCTCAGCGAGGAAGATGAAACATGCGGCAGCTCATGATACATAAGGCAGGTTCCAACAAAGGACTGCAGGTGGGAAATTACCTTGGGCCATAGGGGAGGCAAGCTGCCTGCTGGGAGAAGTATATCCGAGTACAGCTTGGGAAGACAAGGACTCTGACAGAGTGGGATCAGTGTGGGTGACATCACAATACAACATGGAATAGGAGTGGCATGAACAAAGAAGCAGAGGGGGAAAGAAGAGCCTGTGCTTAGGGCGTGGCCATGGCCTACTTTGACTAGGACACAAAATGCTCTGGATTAGGGTACAAATGCAGGGAGGAGGCCTTGAATGCCAAGCTAAGGAACTGAGGGCTCTGGTTGGAAGGCAGTGGGGAGACATTTAATGTTTTCAGTAAAAGCAGCAGCGTGATTAGAATTATGTTCTGGGACAGTGATTTTCAACCTTTTTCATTTCATGGCACACATAAACTAATTACTAAAATTCTGCAGCACCACCACAAATATATTTTTTGCCAACCTGACAAAAAAAAAAAAAGGATGTAATTTTGATTCATTCACACCAGACAATTATTTTGTTGGCTGTTGTCATTTTTTTATTTGACAAAGAGAAAAGAGGTCAGTACCTCTGGCTACTGGTAAGTAGTCAGGTATTGCATGTTTTAAAAATTTTTGCAGCACACCTGTTGAAAATTGCTGCTCTGGGAAGACAAACCTGTGGCAGTATTTATGATGAACTATAGATAGAGGTATCAATCAGGAGGCTATTGCTAAGAGTCCAAGTGAACGTTTCTGAAGGCCTGAATCCAGGCAATAGTAATGGGAATGGAAAGGAAAGAATATCTTCAAGAGATTTTTTTTGGCATGTATTTTTAATTAATTTCAGAGAGGAAGGGAGAGGGAGAGATAGAAACATCAATGAACAGAGAGAGAGAATCATTGATCAGCTGCCTCTTGCATACCCCCTACAAGGATCAAGCCTGCAACCCAGGCATGTGCCCTTGACCAGAATTAAACCCTGGACCTTCAGTCTGCAGGCTGATGCTCTATCCACTGAGCCAAATTGGCTAGGCTGCAAGAGATTTTTTAATAGCTCTCCCCCAATATTAAACATAACACATTATTCATAGTACTAGAGGCCCGAGGCACGAAATTTGTGCAAGAGTAGGCCTTCCTTCCCCCGGCTGCTGGCACCGGCTTCCCTCTGGCACTCGGGACCCGGGCTTCCCTTGCAGCCCCAGCTTTGTCTAGAAGGTCGTCCAGAAGGATGTCCAGTCTAATTAGCATATTACGCTTTTATTATTATAGATTTTTTGTAATAAGCCAAAGCCGGAAGCTAGCCAAATGCCCATCATCAGTAGAATGGATAAAATTGTGGTATATTCACACTATAGAACATTATCTATATATATAAAAGCCCAGCGATCAAATGGTGGAACGACTAGTCGCTATGATGTGCACTGCGGCGGCCAAGTGGCCCGTTTTGGCCCCACTCAGCCCCCCCAACCTCCTGTGGCCCCTCCCCCTGGCTGGCCCCACCCTTTATGGGCCACCCCACCCCGATTGGGGGTGGGGCCGGCCAGCCAACCGCCCATGGCCCCTCCTCCTGGCCGGCCAACCTCCCAGGGTCTCTCCCCCCAGGCTGGCCCCCCAATAGGCCTCGATTGCTGGCCAGGCCAAGAGACCCTACCCATGCATGAATTCTTGCACTGGGCCTCTAGTCTATGTATATAAAAGCCTAAGCGACCATTCGACGAGTAGCTATGATGTGCACTGACCATCAGGGGGCAGATGCTCAATGCATAGGCATGGAAACATGAAACAGACTGATGAATCTCGGAGTGAAGGGGGGAAGGGTGGGAAGAGATTAACCAATGATCTTTTTTTTTTTAAGCTGAAGAGGTTTTTTTATTTGACTTGTCTGTTGAGAAACTATTAAACATTTTTAAGTAGGGAAGTGATGGACACATCAATGGTTTAAGAAAATTAATCTGTCAATCGAGTGCAGGATGAATTAGATGAGAAACTAGAGAATGCTTCAGATTACAGCGGTTCTCAACCTGTGGGTCGCGGTCCCTTTGGCGGTCAAACGACCCTTTCACAGGGGTCGCCTAAGACCATCCTGCATATCAGATATTTACATTATGATTCATAACAGTAGCAACATTAGTTATGAAGTAGCAATGAAAATAATTTTACGGTTGGGTCACAACATGAGGAACTGTATTTAAAGGGCCAGAAGGTTGAGAACCACTGCTTCAGAAGATGGTGGTTGTGCCCTGGCTGGTGTGGCTCAGGTGGTTGGGTGTTGTCCAATGTACTGAGGGGTTGCCAGTTCAATTTCAGGTGAGGGCACATTCCTGGGTTGCAGACTCGATCCCAAATAGGGCACATGCACGGGGCAGCCTGTCAATGCCTTCTACCATCAATGCTTCTCTCTCCATCTCAGGAAAGCAGAGACAATGCCCTGCAGAGCGTCCAGCTTCTATTCCTCCTCCTGCAGAAGGATGTAGGCGCCTCCAACCATCCATCCACACAGCATACAAAGCAGCTACACTCATGACACCATCACCTTCGCCAAGACAGGTGCCTCCACTTCACTGGGTGCTGCCATCTTGGGGTCAGGGTCCTGCCAGCCTCCTTAACCAAAGATTTTATATGCATACTAGAGGCCCGGTGCATGGATTTGTGCACCAGTGGGGTCCCTTGGCCTGTCCTGCGGGACTGGGCCAAAACTGGCAGTCCGACATCCCCCAAGGGGTCCTGGATTGCTAGAGGGTGCAGGCCAGGCCAAGGGACCCCACGGGTGTACACATCTGTGCACCTGGCCTCTAGTATAATAATAAAACCAAATGAAATACAATTACATGCCACAATATGAATGAAACTCATATAAAATTGAATGAAAGAAGCCAGCCACAAAAGAGCACATCTTAAATGATTTCATTTACTAGTATATAAAGTACAAAGACAGGAAAAATGAGTCTATATTGTTAGAAGACTAGATAGGGTTATCTTTGTTGGGGCAAGAAATGATAGAAGTAGGCACCAGGGGGCATCTGGGTTCTGGTAACAAGATGATGGAGATTGTGATAAAAAGCACAATTTGATTATCTGTTCTCCCAGTCTTCCTTTAGTCTTTCTTGCTTCTAGATGAAAACTCTGGAAGGTCCCATTACTTCTCTGTTCCTTTTAGGTAACACACAGTGCTATGTCACTTTAAGTAACAAATGCAGTCTCAATTCAGAAATTAGGATACTCTCTTCTATAACAATAAAAATTCCAAAAAGCATTGCATCATTTCTACTCTGCCAGTTTAGGTTGGTTTCAGACTAAAGCCTCCAGTGGAAAAGGGGTGGGGGCATGGTTAGCTTTTCCTCTCTCATCACTTGTAGCTCACCCCCACCCCACCCCAGCCAACGTGGAGGATGGGCAGTGGACAGCTAGGATAGGTAGCGGTGGTTCAATGCTTCTAGGCCTGGCAGATGTTTAAAGCTGGTGTCTCTGGCAAGCCTGGCAGACGAAAGCTGATATTTCCCATCTTGGCCACTTTTTCAAGCTCTTCAGTGGTTCTCTATCTTTATATGTAGGCAGCCACTTGCAGGTCCTTCCTCAACCCCTGGGCATCAAAAAGCTCCCCTCCAGCCCAAGACAACTCTAAGGAAGCTCTCTCCCCACCTGTCTGACCCCATCTGGCTCTCAGGAAACCTGCAGTGCAGACCAATTCCAAGGCAGCAGCCCTCTCTGGTTCCCATTCCAAGGCCCCTTATCATCTAGATTTGCAGGCAGTCAGGCCCTGTCCACAGAAGCTTCAGCTTTCTCAGGCATCTGCCTGACCCCCCCGCCCCCCCCCCCCCCATGCTGCAGGAGGGGCCCCAAGACCTCCTACTGAGGCATCTTTCCTGGGGCCCTGGGGTTAGAGAGACCAAGGAACTTGGAGGCTGGCAATGGCTCTCTCTAAAGAAACAACTTTATCCTTTCCTTTCCTCTGACATTTTTCTACCTTTGGCCTGACTGAGGGGCCAGGACTTATGAGGCAGATTTTCCTTTATTCTTTTTGTAAATTCTGCATATGTGGCGTCTGCCTCACACTCACCTGGGAATCTTGGTATCCATTGTATTTGTGCTGCAGTGGAAACTGAGGCAGGAAGAGTTCTAGTCTAACATTCTATTACCCACATACTCTAACAATTTCAGACTGTGCAGAAGATAAAAGAAAGTAAAAATCAACTATAATTCCAACACCCCATAACACCTATTAACATTTGGAATCAACAAAATGGTACTTCTTTCAGATACTTTCTTCCAAGTATCTCCGTCTTTCCTTCCTAATTAGAAAAATGGGATCATACTAGACATACCATTTTGTATATGCCTTTTCATTTAATCTATGCCAACACACAAAATATCATTTTAATCACCGTGACACTTAAAATTATATTTACTTCCTCATTCCTTTGTTTTGAACATTTACTTATTTCCAATATTATTATTATTAACAACACTATTGTAAATATCTTCATGAACAAAGCTTTAAAAAACATGATTATTTCCTTTGGAAGTAGTCAAGAGTCGAATAACTAGGCTACAACAGACATTTTGCAAGGAGCTATGCAAGTAGGGGAGAAGGAGCAGGAATAATAAAGTAAGGCAGGAGGTCGTTTTGTTGGGGTGAAGATGAGTTGTTTTCAAAGTGGCTGAGCTTGTGAGTCCACAGTCTACTCAAATGGAAATGCTCAGCTACAAATGTGGAATTGGAAAGAAACCAGAGGTAGAGATGGCTTCTTCCTTTGAGAAGCTTGGCTACTAAACGATCCCTAGAGAAGCACGATTTCTTCAGGCTGGAAGCCTAAAGATATTTGTAGTTAGATGGAAGAGAGCCAGTAGAAAGGGATTAACGGAGAGAGCCAGGTCCCAAGTCAGCAAAAAGTGGTAGTATGGAGGAGGTAGAAAAGTAATCTAGAAAAGGGTCAGGACAGGAAAGTTATTGGAAAGGGCAAAAATTGCTGGAGAGGCTCATTACACAT